TATTTTTTCCCAATCTGTAGGTTCTCTTTTGACTCTTTTGGAGAAGTCTTTGGAAACACATAAAAATTTAATTTTTAGAAGGTGCCAATCATCTGGTTTCTCTTCTGCTGTTTGTGCATTTTGAGTTATGCTTGATAGTCTATTTATGCCATATATTAGGGCCCTTAAATGTGTCCCTATATTTTCCTTGAGGCATTCTTTTACTTTTCTGGCACCCTATTGCCTCTCCACACCTGACATTTAAGTTTCACTACAGCTGGCCAACTTCTTCCAATGGAACCAGCCTTAAAGTTAGAGTACTGCTTGTATAGCCAACCCCCCCAGTGCCGGCTACTCCTGGAAGCCTTTTTCATTTCATCTCCTCCAGCTCACCTTCTCTCTCTGTGCCCTGAGTTCCTCCAGTGCTGTTTGTATCATAGCACATCTGTTATGTGTTGCTGCTTTCTGTGTCCTAGTTCCCTCCCCTTGCCCCTTGGCCCCAGACTGGAGCCTACTAGGGTTTGGTATCTTATTCATTCATCTCTGACCCTCAAGAATCTAGTGTAGATTAAAGCAAAGAAACCTGACTTCTTCAAGTGTCTGCTAACTTCCCTCATATCCTTGAATCGTGCCCTCCCTGTCTGGTCTCAGCTTGCAGACATATAAAACAGAGACAATCCCTGCTGCCAGGTATGCTTCTCAGGACCAGGAGGGAGTGGATGCTGTGGCCAGAGCTGCAGTGGGCTGATGGCATGGCCCTGGCTGCACTGGGACAGGAGGCCAATGACTGTGAGAGCTGGTGGAGGGTCTTGGAGGAGGAGGGAGGCCCAGGCAGCATTGACTCCCCAGCACAGACCACTCAGGGGGTTTTGCTCTGCTAAGCCACCACACATCTCTAACTGGCCCCTTTCTGGGGCTGCCTATTTGGTCCTGAATTTTGCCAGGATCATAAGCTATTAGAGTGAACAGGAGCCTGAGCTGGGGGTAGGAGTCTATCTGCCCAAAATAATGATGTCTACCTGAAGCCTGACAGAGCTCTGTCTGGGAGAATCTGGGACAACCCATTCTGTTCCAACAGGGGCCAAGCATAAGGAGAAGAATTAGGGTGGAAGCACAGAAGGGGGGAAAGGAGGCTGGGAGCAATCCATCGGGAACTGACAATGACTTCCCCACAGACCAGGTGTGCCTAGTCCAGGTGTGGGGAGAAAGGCAACGGGGGGGGGGGGGGCCAAATACACCTCCTTGGGCCTGCCCAGCCTAGGTGCTGTATCCTCTCCTATTCCCCCCACCAAGGGAAAACGAACCAGAACCCTGGTCATGGACAGGCTGGGGCAGGGCTGAGGGCCTGAGTCCACTGCGTCAGGACCTAGAGGTCTCAGTCAACACTGACCATACTCGGATCTCTGAGGAACTTCATGGACCCCGGCCTATTTGAAAGCCCCAGAGGGTATGCCTGGAATCAAGGGACACTGCAGTGCGTCAGGTGTGAAGTGAGCATAGGTGAAACTATACCAATCAGGGATAAGGATGTCTGCCATTTCAACAAGCTGCCCAGAAAGCAGACAGCATCCCAGCATTAGGAGCGTGCAAGTAGAGGCCGACGCCTGTCAGCTGGCAGGGGAGGGTAGCCATGGTTCCAGCCCTCCTAGCAGAGGCACTTGCATGGGCACTGCTGAAGACATCCTTTACAAGTACTACTTCCCTTTCCAGGCAGTGACCAGGAGGCAGCAGGAAAGGCTGAGACCTGCAAAGATGCATCTAGTCACTACCTGCCCTGACCCAGCAGTCCTGCCTCCATTCTTCATTTCTGCTCCCTACTTTGTCTCCCTCCCACTCTTTTCCTCCTCAGGGCCTCAGAGGACAGCCTACTAGACACATTGTCTTTGAGAACAGCTTAAAGCAGAGCAAGATTGGGGTGACTTTCCAATGGTGGCATTTCAGACATCTGGGAAAGGAAAGAGACCTGTTTCTCATAGGGAGTAATTGCTGGGAATGCTCTTCACGAGGCTGAGGGTGGGCAACAGTCTTGCTCACAGGCAAAGCCATTCCTGCACTTCTCCCTAGAGCATCCCTGGGAAAGGGTCCACCTTGACTCAGAGCCCCAGGGCCAAGAGAATTCTGAAGTCTTTGATGAGTTCCCTGGGGCAGGACTGAGCAGTGCAGATGGGGAGTCAGGCTCTATCAGGCCTTTAGGCAGACAGAGAGAGCAGCAGGAGGGACCAGGAGCTGGCCAAGAGGTAAAGTCGGGAAGGGAAAGCTCAGTCTTGGCCTGGAAAGTGAGAGTTTACCCCCAATTCACATGACCAGTGCCAAACTTGCCTTCTTGCAAACAGCACTAGGGTCAAAGCACTTCCTGTGGTTAGCTGCAGTACATACCATCTGGGACAGTGAGATGGTCCAATGGGCCACCTGCAATCAGCCTTCCATCTCCCTTTTGGGCACAGGCTTCAGAGTACTCATTATCCTATAGTTAGGAGCTCTGGTGGCGTAGTGCCTAAGGCATTTGACTGCTAACCAGAAGGCTAGTGGTTCAAACCCACCAGGCACTCCTCAGAAGGAAGACTGGGCAATCTACTTCCATAGAGATACTGCCTCGGAGGAGTCGCTATGAGTCAAATCAACTTGGTGGCAGTAAGTTTTTTTATCTATAGCAAGCACACACCAATGTGTACACAGCTAGACACACAGGAACAAAAAACAAAACCCACAAGCACATTCCCAGCCACATGGCATATTCCTATCAGATCCACATACAGCACACATAACCATACGTACTATGCACTACCCACAGCAATACAGACACACACACACACACACATACACAAACACACTAATCCGCCAAGGCTGGTAACAAACCCTGCCAGTCTTGCTTGGCATACCTTGCCCCATCCCATCTCTGTATAATGGGTACAAAGGCAGGGACACTCTGTATGTAGACCCTGCTGGGACAGCTCAGGCTGTATCTCACTAGACAACCTGGCACATAGGCAGGACTAGAAGCAAATCTAGAAGGCAGATGGGGCAAGTCATGGCAGGCTGTGAGGTGAGGAAAAGCAGTGAGTGCTTCAGAAGCTCCAGAAAGGTACTCACTGTGGACCAGCAGCTACCTTGAGAAAGGTTTTAGTGCCAGTGAGCAGGGAGGACCCCGACCTTGGAGATGTAAACACAGACAGAAATCCTAAGGTCACAAGTTACAAAAAACACATTCTCAAAGTGGAAAGGAATTGATCTGTTTATGTAACTGACAAGTTCAGGATTGGGATGAACTTCAGCCGTGCCTTGATTCTGATACCAGACACGGCCGCTGGATCTGCTCCCCCTCTTGTGCTTCTCTCTCCACCTTCTGAAGTTCCAGTTGATGGAGGGAGCAGCTCCGGACCTTCCATCCTCTCAGCTTCAGATGCCTCTGTTCCAGCACCTCCACTGCATTTCATCGGCTCTGCCAGGGCCATGTGCCTGCCCACCCAACCAAAGCACAGGGAGGAGTGACCAAGGAGTGGTTTCCTGGAGTAAATGAGATTCAGTTACAAGACAAGGGCAAGTGGATGCTTGGCAGGAAAATGATCCTGATTCAGCTGTGCCCCCTACCAATATATATTGGAAGCCTAACCCTTGTATCTGTGGATGTGTCCAGTATTTCTGGAAATAGAGTTTTCTTTGCTATGTTAATTAGATCATACTTGAATAGGGTGAGTTCTGAATCTAAGTAATAAAATAAGCAGATTAGACACATATACACACAAAGGGAAAAACAGACCCCATGTGAGGATCCTCTACAACCCAAGGAATCAAGGACTGCCCAGGATGACAGACATTGAAGGAATCAGTATGGCTGAGATCCTGATTTGGACTCTAGACACCAGAATTGTTAAGAAAATACATTTTGTTCTTTAAAATCACTCTCTTGTTTTATTTGTGTCATAGCAGCCCTAAGTACCCTAAGAGAGATCCTTACTACATGAGACAGTCACGAGAGCAAAAAAAGCATAGAGGTGGGAATGTTCAGGAAACAGCAAGCGGAGCCAGGCATCCAGGAACTGAGAAGGACAGTTGGGGAGTACAAGGTATTAGAATTAAAAGCTAGAGGCACTACTTGCTAAAGCCCTAAACTTGAAGTCAGAAAAATATTTTGGACTTCATTTTGCAGGCCTCAGGGAGTCCAAAAGGGAGCTTTTGAGATGTGGCATGCGAGGCAGGGTGGAGACACAGTGGGAATCTTCCTGGACCCCCTAGGAACACAGGGTTTCTGCAGGCTGCATATATTCCTGGGTGGATCTTTGGGTGGGGCACCTTCATGCTCTCCTAACCTCTCTTGATTGCCAGTCTCTTGAGCCTTCATCAAAGAAGCCCTGATGGTTAAAGCATTTAGCTGCTAACCAAAAGGTCAGCAGTTCAAACCAACCAGTCCCTCCAAAGGAGAAAGATGTGGCAGTCTGTTTCCATAAAGATTACATACAGACTAGGAAACCTTATGGGGCAGTTCTATTTTGTCCTATAAGGTAAATATGAATCAGAAATGACTTCGATGACAATGGGTTTGGATTTGGTTTGGAGTCACCACCCAGGCTGCCAAAAAGTCTTTTCAATCAGACTTTCCCAGATGAGCTAGCTACAGGAAATAGGGGGGCTGAGTGGGGGGAGGACCTTAAGCTCTTCTTCCTCAGTAGTGCCACAAGGAAAAGACTCCCTCCACTATACATGCATTTCATAGATACTTACTGAAAACCACACACCAAGCCCACTACCAGGCATTCAGATACCTCCCTGTCCTGGATTGTTCACATGGGCCAGTGAAGTTGGGAGAGAATAAGCAATAAACACAACAAATAAGAAAATCATACAGAATGTTAGGAAGTATACTAAATAGGATGGATAAGGTAGGTCTAATTGAGGTGAGGTTTGAGCACAGATCTGAGATGATGAGGGAGTGACCCAAGCAGCCACCCAGGTAGAGAGCATTCCAGCAAGAACTGGAATCAAGCCCTAAGACACTGTACTTGGAGTATCTGAGAAACAGCAGGGAGGCCAGTGTGCCTAGAACAGAGTGACCCAAGTGAACATGGTGGAGATGAAGTCAAAGAGGGAGATGGGGTTGAGGTAGATCATGTAGGACTTGGGCTACAACTCTGAAGGAGGCAGGAGCGATGACTGAAAGTGGTATGACCTGACCTAATGTGCTTAAAGATTTGTTCCAGCTGCTATACAAAGTTTAGTTACTAGAACAGCAAACTGGAAGCACAAAGATCAGTTGGGAAACTAGTATAGCAAGTCAATAAAAGAGTGCAGTGTTCTAGAGGTAAATGAAAAAGTGGAGGGAGAAGGTAGGAGTGAGAATTTCTACCAAATGCTACTGAGAACTGACCAATGGATTTAGCAATGTGGTCAATGGGGATGTTGGTGAGAGAAATTTTGGTGGAGTGGTAGAGGTGGAATCCTAACTGAGCTTGGTCCCATCAAACATCAGCTCTCACCAGACTCTGCTGTGGCCATTCAAGCTTAATTTTTTTCCACATCTCCCTTGTTGGGGGAGCACTCAGCTTGCCTCTTCCCCAGTTCATCCATGCCTGTCATTTCCTCTTGGGCAGTCAGCCTGCTGCTCTCAGAACAGCTGGACAGTGAGTTCTGGGCAGTGCCAGGTGCCAGGTGCCATCCAAGAACAGTGGTCAGGAAAGTCTTCAGGTACCGGCGGAAGCGGCGGCTAGAGAAGGCATAGAGGATGGGGGTGAAGCAGCAGTGAAGGAAGGCTATGCTCTCAGTCACCTGCAGAGCATAATCCAGGTGGTGGCTGGTTTTGCAGTCCCCAAAGACCTGTAGGTCCAGCAGTGAGTGCAGAAACAAGGTCAGGTTGTATGGGAACCAGAGCATGAAGAAGGCTACCACCAGGGCTGCAGACATCCGAAGAGCCCGACCCTGGCCCAGGGGCTTCAACCTGACCAGGACACAACCAATGCGGGAGTAGAAGAAGATCATAGCAAGGAGTGGAAGAAGAAACCCCAGGAGGTTCTGCTGGAAGCGGAGGAAGAGCTTCCAGACAGTCCCATGCCCACCGAAGTCTGGGTAGCAGTTCCACATACCCTTGGGGTTTTCATGCGTCTGCACAAAGATCATGTCAGGGATGGAGATGGCTAGGGCCACGCCCCACACCACAGCAGACAAGATCAGGCTCTTGGCCCATGTCCTCAGCCTGTGGTGGCGTTGAGCATACACGATTTCCAGGTACTTGTCCAGGCTCATGCAGCTAATGAAGAAGATGCCACTGTAGAAGTTAATGGTATAGAGGGTGCTTACCATCTTGCACAAGAAATTTCCAAAGACCCAATGCCAGGCCACAGAGATGCCCCAGAAGGGCAGAGTCACCACAAACAGGAGATTGGAGATGGCCAAGTTCATCAGGTAGACCTGAGCCATCCGCCTACGAGGCACATACCGGAGCAAGACCACAAGAAGGAGGAGGTTACCACCTAGGCCCAACACAAAGATCAGGCTGTAGAAGACTGGTAAGAAGATTTTGCCAAAAGACAGCACTGCATCCTTCCTGCAGAGCATGAAGGCCAGGTCATCCAAGTAGTCATAGTCATAGAAGGAGCTGCTGTTCTCAGAACTGGTGTCCTCAGTGATGAGTAACAGAGGTGAGGTGGTGGTAGCCATGTCAGAGAAGATACGTCCAGTCCTGGAGCTCTGTAGACCAGAGGGTAGTGGGAAAGAAACAATATGGTGATACCAGACATTCCCCAGCTCTCTCCAAACCCACTTTTGCTACTGCCTTGTGACTACCTATAGGACATCAGTCACCATAGACTAGCAATTAAGAACAAACTTTGGAAGGCCCACTCTATCACTTCAAAAAAAAAAACAAACACACTGCCATTGAGTCAATTACAACTCATAGTGACCCCCACTGGGTTTCTGTAGATTGCCTCATCTTCCTCACACAGAGCAACTGGTGGGTTGGAACCACCGACTTTCTGGTTAGCAGCCAAAATGCCTTACCCACTATGCTACCAGAGCTCCTTATTTTGTCACTTAAACCAAGACCAAACTCACTGCCATCAAGTTGATTCTGACTCATAGCAACCCCCTTTGGGTTTCTGAAGTGGTAAATCTTTACTGAAATAGATTGCCCAGTCTTCCTTCTGTGGAGTGGCTGGTGGGTTTGAACTGCCAACCTCTGGTTAGCAGTCAAATGCCTTAGGCACTACATCACCAGAGCTCCTTATTTTGTCACTTAATAAGTATGTAATTTGGACAAGTGATTTTCCTTTAGGTGTTTTCATAGTACTCAATTCTTTCATATAGTTTCACTTCTTTATTTTCTTCCTCATAATTTAAAAAGACTTAAAATGTTTTCTCATGTTTTTCTTTATTATTTAAGAGTAACAGTTCACCAATTTATTGTGCTTCCTTACTCTTCCTCTTGGCAGTTCACTTCCTTGTGTAACTTATAATTTTTTTTAAGAAGTTTTCATAACTTTGCCCCCTGTATGCTCCACTATATTCATGGATTTATTTGCAGCGTACGTAAATATGTATGTAGACATATTGTCAAACCTACACATATTCATGGGTACAGTCCCATTCTCCTGCCCACCCCTGTTCAGTTTGCATGTCTACCTATGTATCCACTCTTAGATTCTTGATTATTCTTATTACTGCTATGGAAGATTGTGTGTGAATTAGTATTTACCTCTGTTGCCTTTAACACCTATATTCCTCCCAGCACCTCTCTTCTTTGATCATATTGTGCTGCCTTCATCCTTATTGTATATCACCTTCCCCTTCACCAAAGGTGAATAACCCCTGGTAATTACCCCTGGTGAGCATCAAATAATACTTCTTTTTGTGTGAAATTGTTTTCTTGACTTTTTACAATAGGGATCTCATACAATAATTATCCTTTTATGATTGACTAATTTCACTCAGCATAGTGTAGTGCCTAAGGCACTGGACTGCTAACCAGAAGGCTGGCAGTCCAAACCACCAGCCACTCCTCGGAAGGATGATGGGGCAATCTACTTCCGTAGTGACACCACCTCAGAAACCCAAGGAGGGGTCCCTATGAGTTGGGGCCGACTCGACGGTACATAACAACAATAACAACGTCTTCCAGGTCCATCCATGTTATAAGATGTTTAACAGATTCATCATTGTTCTTTAACATTGTGTAGTTTCACTGGGTGTACATACCATAGTTTGTTTATATAATTGCTGTTTAAAATGAGAGCTTATCTTCATCAGGGCTTGTTTTATCTAAGAATGCCCAGTATTCTCTTTACTTTTATCACCTAAGTATTTCTCTTACTGTTGAGTTCGGTTACATATTAAAATTTTGAAAAAATATTTTATCCATTATAAAATGCTTGTACTATGCCTGCAGCAGAAGAGTGTGATCCATCATGTTGATGGACTCAGAGTCTACTAAATTTTCCATGTCCTAGTTTCCTCATCTTTAAAATGAGAATGATAACTGTGCCTGAATCATGGGGTTCTTCTGAGGCTTAAATGTGATAATACATGCAGAGCACTTTAAATTCTACCAAGAGTGTCTAGCTCATGGAAGTGACTTGATAAATGTTAGCTTATATTATTGCTTTGCCCAAAACTGGGTCCATCCTCTTCCCACCAACCTCTTCTTCTCTCTGTGTCTATCTAATGGAATGACACTAACTACTCATTCACCTAAGACTGAAACATCCCAGATTCCTCCTCATCTCCCTCCCCACCACCCTGTCAATCTCTACCTTCTAATGCCTCTTGAATATGTCCACCTATCTCTAAGTCCTACAAAAACATATATAACACAATACTCTACTAATCAGGTTAAAACAAATGCAATAAAAACATATACAGTGTTCTGATTACCTAGTACCACTCTGACAGGGATATAGCACAATGGGATGGCCTTATCAAACAAGAGTTTGATAAGGCCAAACTTGTTATCAAACAAGTTCAAAGTGCCAGGCTCTAGGGGCTGGGTGAAAGCCCCTTGACCCTGGGCTTCAGCTCTGCCTCTTATTCCTGGCCCATTGAAGCTAGAGGCATCTCTTCACTCAGGCAGCTACTGGCTGCTGAGGCTAACAAATGCAAGGTCAACAAATAAAAAGACACACTCCTGATGTTACCAAACCACATGGCAGGCCATTAGTTAAGTCCATTGTAAGTCCCAACGTCAGCAGAGCATGGCAGGCTGCTGAAGAATGACATGGCTACATGCAGGGTCTAAGCATGCCATAGGTTAGAGACATTCCCAAAGCTGCTTCTTATATATGGGAAGCAGACCACATAACCAAAGCAGCTACTCAGCTGCTTGTGGTAGATCCCACCATGGAGATGATTACCAGTCTCATCATGGGGAATAACTACCACCAGCTGCCCAGCCACTCAACCAGGCCCAGCCAAGTTGACACACAAACATAAACACCACATATAGGCATACTTCATTTTATTGTGCTTCTCAGATACTATGTTTTTTTACAAACTGAAGGTTGTGGCAATCCTGCATTGAACAAGTTCACAGGGGTCATTTTTCCATTACCTAGTGCTCACTTTGTATCTCCATGTCACATTTTGGTAATTTTCACAATATTTCAAACTTTCTCATAATGCTATTACACACTTAATAGACTACAATATAGTGTGAACATAACTTTTATTTGCACTGGGAAACCAAAAAAATTGTGGAACTTGCTTTATTTTGCTATTTGCTTTATTGCGGTAGTCTGGAATGGAACCTGCAGTATGCCAAGGTACACCTGGACTTCGAAGTAGTACAGATAGATGAAAGGGAAAGCAGAGAATGATAAGCACAGGATTCAAAATGATGGCTGCCTGGGCAGGAGAAGCCAGAGGAATGGGATAAGGAAAGGAACACAGATAGGGGTGGTGACTTCTGTGGTCTAGTTTCCTCTGAGGTGATGGCTTCTCAGGTGTTTACTGTGCTATTAAAATAAGTAATTTTTTAAAAAGAGAACTTCGCATGAACATGAACCAATGACAGGAGTCTGTCATGAGCCAAGAATTATTCTCAATGCTGTTTTATGTTCCAGGACAGAAAGAGAGAGTTCATGCTCAACACATTAGAATGGGGGGGGGGGGGAAAAGGAAAGAAGAAGGAGATAAAAAGGAGTAAGTGGTCCAAGCAGACAATCACGCACATGTCTGAGAGAGGGGCCTGTGAGCTGGTGATGATAATGGGGACAAAGTAAGAAATGCCATTAACCCTACCCTGTACCTGTATTTTATTTTTAATTCTTTCATTTAATTGAGGTGGAACTCTTTTTATATGTGCAATGCCCATTTTTATTTCTCCTGTGGATTGTTAATAGTTTTAATGAGGTAGAGCTCTCATTTTTAAGAGGTCTTTAGTAATAATATTAACTTTTTCTACATATTTTGGAACTATTTCCTGCAATTCTTTCCTTATAGAAGTTTTGTCTATTCTTTTCCAGGGAGAATTTTGAAGGAGATGTTGATTCAGACCTTCAGCTGATCCTTCTGGTACCCATGATGCTGTGACCTCACAGCTGATAGAAATATCAATGCTGCTGAGGTGAGACCTCTCCTGGAGATCCCTGGACTCCACCCACTCCATGAGCTCTGCCTCACCCTCGGATTCCGGTCAAATGACAGATGTTGGGGAAAATCACACACACCTGCTTCCACCCCAGGAGCAGCTTGGGTGGCCTTGTCTAGGGCCCAGCTTTGCCCTGACTGTCCTTGGGAGCTTGGCCCTGCTGCACCTTGCTTTCCTGGTCCTCCATTCCTCTCCTGTGCATCTGAGGTCCCTATTATGGCACCCTCCCCCTTCTGGGTAGCAGTAAGGACATTCCCAAAACATGGCTGGTGTTGAGACTCTATGGACTGCTGGATTAGGGTAGGGGGCTCTTTTGTACTTGGGTGTGATTTGGGGCCTATTAGTCAGGAGTTGCAAATAATTAAACATAAGCTCTTCTGGGATGTCAGCACTGACCTTGATCCTACTCAGGATCAAGGTTTGCTTTAGTCAACAGCAGAAAGCTGTCCAACAGTTGCTTTGATCAAAGCCAGAGGTTAGGGCCAGTAGGTGTTATGCTAGACCAGGCCATCTTTAAAGGGCTCCCTCCCCCTGGAACACCCTGTTTCCTTCCGTCTTGGGCCTTCCCTAATCTCTCACCCCATGAGTCTTTTTATGTCCTTCTGGCTTCTGGGGTCACCGATCCCTCAAGTCACTTTCATCAATAATATCATCATCATCAACAGCAGCAGAACCAGCATTCCTATGTGCACATTGCAGTGGCCAGACACTTTCAGATCCACTGTGGTACTCCTCTAAGGCCAACCACTAAGGAACTGTCAGCCCTACTTAACCTAGGAGCAAAGAAACATTTTCAAGGTCAAACAGAGAGTCATCAGCCAAGCTGCATCTGAAACTCAAGTCTTTGGACTCCAGGACCAGTCCCTTGTACTTGGTCTCAACTCAACCTTGACCTCTGTTCTGCCCTACCCAGCAGTTATTGAAACGGTCATCTGAGAAGGGCACAGAAGGTAGTTGTGGTTGGGCTCAGGAAGTGTGGGGTGCCCAGGATATTGGCCTCATTGGCTGGTCTGGCTGCTCTAGATTCTACCATTCATGCTGCATGGCTTTACTGAGCCTCCTTGCAAAGTGCAACCTC